TGATGCTCCCGCTCAGGAATAAGCCCTCTTGCGCAACTATTCTTGTGCAAGAGGCCAGTGTAGACAGGCAACATAAATTTCTTGCACAAGAAAGCCCTATGGTTAAAATGGCCATCAGAGCTTTCTTGCACAAGAGAGCATCTACACTGGCATGGATGCTCTTGCGCAAAAGCACATCTCTTGCGCAAAGGCACATACCAGTGTAGACACTCTCTTCTGGAAGAGTTTTTTGCACAAGAACTCTTCCGCAAAAGAGTTCTTGCACAAAATCACGCCAGTGTAGATGTAGCTGAAATGTCTTCTCACCGCCCAGTAAGCAGTGGAAGTGCTGGTGATGCTGCTGGACAATATTGACCTCCCGTGTTTCAGTAAATTCTCTGCTGAAATGGGAGCTGATCGGTGGGGTGGGGTATGTCCAGGAAGGGCTTTGCAAGTGTGTCATTTCCAGTTATTAGCATAGCAAAGGGCACGCCAGTGGTGGAAGTCAGTGAGGTAGCATGGTAAAGCAGTTGTCAGGAGAATGATTTTTCCATGAGTGAACAGAATTAGGTCCCTCAGGGCCTGCCATGAAGAGTTTACAGTCCATGGGCCTGATCCTGGGTGTCCCTTTGAGCAACAGTGAAATCCGAGCAAGCACATGGCATTGCAGTAAGTTCACCAGGCCCAGGCGAGTCCCGTGGAGAAAGGGCAGCGAGTGGGAGCTCATGGAGTTACTGCTTCTGTACAGGAGACTCGATACTACTGATATAAGGGGCAAAAAAAAGCCACTCTGAGTCTCAGAACCAAGGCGATGTGCAATACTGCCAGTTAGGAAAGTCAGGCCAAATGCCCAGGGCTGGTGTCACCGACATCAACGGAGCGATGGTGATATATTCCTGTGCAGGAACCTGGTGCCATCACTAGTGCAGCTGCATGTTGGCTGGCAGCCCCGGAGCACTACCGGCTTGGGAGACAGATGAGCTACATCTAGACTGGCATGATTTTCCGCAAATGCTTTTAAAGCCCAGGTCAGTGCTCCAACCACTAGACTACACCACCGTACAAGCATTATACGTGATGGTGTCTATAGTGAGCTAGGCCAGTGCTGGCGTAATGGGAACAGAAATCCAGCACAGCAAAAGACATTCCTGCACACTGGTTTGTCACAAAATCTGGTGACAGCGGAGGGGGTGCATGGTGTGCACGTGAGTGCGTTTGCATTTGTGTGAATGTGTTACACACGCCTGCTGAGCCTGTCATTGGCCTCTCAGGGGCTGAAGCCATCTGTTCGCAGCAGCCAGTCAGAAAGCAGGACGAAATCTCACAGTCCTCTTTACTCCGGGCCCTTCTGTGGCCTCTTACGCAGCTGTTGTGCTTGTGTGTCAGGGCAATGTCAGTGTAGGAAAGCTGGTGCCAGCACTGCCTGTCACAGCAAGTCACTGTAAACCCTTTGGGCTCTCTCTAGCCATCGCCTGCATGACAGCGCGGGACACAATTCCCACGGGCAAAAGAGCCAGCAAACCTGGAAGATGTATTTGTTTATGATGTTACAAGGATTTAGAGTGGGCTCAGACTGCAGCCATGGCCCAGCCAAATGCACCTGTGTGAGGAGAGGCATGTAGGGTGTTTCCAGAGCTGCTGAACTCTCTCCGTAAGATATTGGCACTGGAGCCAGGCCACCTGGCAACGAGGGTGTCGGCACAGAGAGCGGACGAGGGAAGGGCCTAGGGCATTTGCATTAGAGGTGAGAACAGGTGCTGGCTAATTAGCACAGGCTAGGTAGCTTGGTGCAAGGGGAATCAGAAAAAGGAGAGGTGATGTGTGACAGAGAGATGGAAAAACAGGAAGGGGACATGGAGAACCTAGACGGGAGATGGGAGAAGCGGGAAAGAGAGAAGGCGGGGACGGGAAAGGCGGGGAGGGGAAACAGAGATGAAAGACAATAAAGAAAGGCTGACGAAAGAGTGGGAGAGAGGTCAACAGATGGGGAGAGACCAAGGGATGACTGGAGCAACTAGACTTACTGGGACAGTTTCTGCTGCTGCTAACCCCAGTGCAAATCCAGACACGTCCCTCTGCCTCCAGCTGAATCACGCTGGGTTTACAGAGGCAGTGCAGAGAAGCCTATGGCCCATCTACTGTGGCTGTAGGGCCTGGGCCTGGGGGTTCCAGCGAGCCCCCACCTGCTCCGGTAGCCAGCACTAAGGTGAGCCTAACAAATGCACAGTGGCCTTTCCATTTGCTCCCAGGAATTAACTCGCGTCTGGATGGGGTTTAAACTGCAGTGATCGCGGCTTCAAATGTCACATTTTCACCTAGAAATCACCCCGCCCTTGCCCCTCCCTGCACCCGCCTTCTGAACGTTTGACAGCTACGTGTCTGGAACCTTGCCTTCTGTGGGGCCAGTGCCTAGGGAAGGAGACGGAGCCTTTGTGTCTGCAGCATTGCAATGGATTTGTATCCTTCAAACATCTTATGCCTCTTTGGTGGCCTATGTGAAGAGATTTTTTTTTTTTGAAGGGATGGCTCTACAAAAAGTACAGTGCATTGTCTCCGCAGCCCTCCCCTTGCTCCGCAGCACCTCTCAGGGGTTCTTCCTATGCTGATGAATTCTCCATTTAGAATGGTTTTAAAGGCGAGACATACAAAACCAAGAAAAAAAACAGTGATTAAGACTCCGCACCTCTGCAATGCCTTTCATCCAGAGTGCTACCGATATGCAGGAAGCTGGCCTTACCCCCCCTCCTGGTATGGATGGGGAAACTGAGCCCCCTGCCGATGGTCACACTCTCACCTCACCCACTTTACAATCGCTGCCAGGTGTTAGCTCCGTTGCACCCAAGAAAAGAACTCAGATGAAGCCATTTGCCAAGTCTCCTTGCTGTTTATTGATCTTTCAAACATGCCCCGCTGGGCGGAAGGGCAGGGGCTGTAGTGCAATCCACCGAGAACGATAGGTCTTTAAAGTGACAACATAACTATTTAAATACATAACACAGCTATGGCATGATGCTAGATACACTTTTCATATGAACCCCCTCCCACACCCCACCGCGGTCATGTTGCTCAACTCTGTTTTGCCGGAATGCTGAAAACCCAATGGCACCACGAGAGCGGAATATTAAGCATTCGAAGTACCAATTTTAACTACAGCCATTGCTCCTTTTTGCATTTTTTTGGTCCATCCCATTAAAAGCTTTCACGTTTTCATTCTTCTTTGTGCCGAGATGGTCACAGCCTGCAGCCAAAGCACTTTGGCCCTGGTCTGGTGTTCCCAAGTGGGGCTGATGCTTTGCAATGGACACATTTTAAAGTCAGAAGAGACCACCCAAAGAATCTCACCCCACGACATTGGGGTACATAAGCTGGTGGCTGGATGCCAACATCTCACATAAAACACCATCCAGTACTGGGGCAAGCTAAGTGACAGACCAATACCACAGAGATGACTCAGAGCCCGGGATTTCCCTGTTTCAGTCCCAGAGTCTTACTCATAAGACCATCTTAGCTTTGCTTCCGCTTACAACTGGGACATGAGGCCAGGTAAATTAAAAGGTGTCTAACCTTTGCCTGAATCAAGACATGGAGTAGATTACTCCTGAGTCAAAGCCCACTGAAGTCAGACTTCAGTGGGCTTTGGATCAGGCCTGGATAGCCAGCAAAGTTCATACCCAAGGTAAATTTATCCTAGAGATTTGTGAAGCACATTCAGGGATAGGAGGCAAGAGTTTCCACGCAGAGCCAAGCCCAAAACTCAGCGCTAGGGCACAGGGGGCATTCCATGAGCTGCCCTGGGATTAGCAATGCAGGATCCTGCTGGAAAGTTGGTGAGTCTCGCATTCACAAAGCTGCAGCGGCTGGACTTGACAGACTTTGCCACCGTCTGAGTCACGCATTAGACAAGGGTGAGTCACACTGAAAATAAGGGCGTTTCTCTAGAAAAGGGGGAAGCCACTTGGAGAAGTGACACTAGGTACACAGCATGCTCTGGAAGCTTGGACTTGCCTAGGCTAGCGAGTGGGCCGCAGGAGTGGCCCTCCATCTCAACGGGCTCTAAGACTGTCGTAACCAAGATGGTCTCCTGGGCGAGGGCAGTTTGGCTCACTGCGCTTGAGTGCGTAGAACCGTGGTGTCCAACCAGTTCTGAAGCAGTAGCCCCTACAATGGCTACTGCTATAGCGAACTAGCCACACTCGACCGGCCGAATGGGGCTAGTGGCTGGCATGTCGGACATCAAGGGCTTAGGATTTGCGGGGCGTTTCTGATTGAATCGTAGCAGCACTTTGACTGGATGCAGAAGGGGCGCACGGCTCTCACGCTCAATGTCGCGTGCGATCAGCACGTCCCTCCCGTCACGTGCCCTTGCTTTACATGCGTCGCTTCAGGAATACAGGTAGGTAAAAAATGACGTGGATGGAAACCAGCAGTTTCTGGCACCCTATGGGTGAGCAACAGCAAACAAAATGCCTGGTGGGCTGCACATAGAACTCTGATGGGCCACGTGTGGCTGCCGGTTGCCCACCACTGACATAGATGCTGCTGCATAAGCACCCAGGAGTCCTGCTGGGCATTTCAGCAGGGGCCTTGCTCCTACACTGGTAAGAGGTGAGGAAAAGGGGGCTCCCTGCAGTGCACACGGATATTTGGGCCGCCTCTCCCATAAGCGATGAGGCCCCAGGTTAATGGTGTATTCTGGAGCCGGGGGAGCCCTGCCAATGGCTTCATACCTGCCAAGACATGGCAGCGCTGTCTGAGAGCTCCGCAGCCTGTCCTGGCTGGCTCCTGAGTGACCACAAGCCCTCAAGGCAGCAAAGAAACTGTGTGCCACTTCTTTGATCACCTCTCCCTCAACTAGCTTGGGTAACCCTCCCTAGGAGAATACCACCCTCTCCTCATGCTATGCACTGTTGCCAGCCCCTATATTCAAAACCGAGAATCAGGCACCCTCGCCACAATCATGAGCCCATGTAAAATTTCATGGATTTTTTTCAGCCACAATAATAAATGTGGGGTTCTCTATATCTGCCTTGTGGTTTCTGAGTCCTTTAGTGCACGTTTCCAAGCTTTTCTCCATTATCATGAGTGCTACAAATGTAATGTTCTGTTTTGTTTTGTTTGGGGGGGGGGGAGCGTTTAAGTGAGATTAACAAGTAACATGATTCCAAGAGCCGGGCCTTCCTGGAAAACACCAAAAATAATGAGACTTGCAATACAGTTGCGATAGCTGAAACCCATGAGAGCTGTACCTCAGGGCTTATCTTGATTAGAAAGAGTGGCCGGGATTAGCTGGCATGTGCTAAACTTTACCTCAACTTGACCTTTAAGTGGGGACTGAGTAAAAACTGTGGCCTACACTGTGGGGTGCCCAGTACGAGTGTTGGGCGCCTGTGGGCCTGGCTTCTAGAGGTACTGAGCACACCTAAACCCGGCTGACAGTCGGCAGAAGCTGAGGAGCTCTGGAAATTGGCACCCCTGTGTCTCAAGCTGGGCTCCAGAACTGGTTGAAAAACAGAAGCGAGTGGGGGGAGGGGGTAAAGAAACCAATTGTTTTGTATGTGGTCATTTTCCCCACTTAAAATAGGAGTCACCTATGTTTTATCAAATTCCATCCCCGGTCCCCATCTTTTTCCCAATCAGATTTGGGAGACACTCAGAAGTGAAAGTAAGCGGGTACACGCTGCTGCAAGAACTGGCTGAGCTGTGGCAAAAGCCAGCAGGGAGCTATTTCAAGAGCTGGCAGGGACCCGGGTTGCAATAGGACAGCACCTGTAAGAAATGTTAAGAATTTCAGCCAAACTCAAGTATGGAGGCCTCCTGAACCCAAGCATCCAAGATAGCATCCTGTGAGGTGCTGAGGGCCCTCAACTTCTCCTGGCTTCCACTAACTGCAGAATCAAGCCTTAGAGAGGATGGGCCATGGAAAATGGTGGCTTTTCTTCCTAAAGGAACTCTCCTCCCGGCTCATATTAGTGTTGAGAAATACCATTCCTTTTTAAAGAGGCTGCTCCTTTATTAAAAATTTCAATATTTGCATTCCCTCTGCTCACAGTTTAGCTCAGGATGTCCAGTAATTGGACAGGGAAGATGAGCAGCTGCTATTTTTAAAGATGCTCACTCTGCCTGAACTCAATTTTTAACAGGGAGCCATCCAGAGGAGGAATCAAAGCTCCCTTTTTAGAGAGAGCTCTCTTGTCAGGGAGGACTGTATTAGCAGCCTAAATTTCTCTTTGGACCTTGCACTGAAAACACCTGGTGGTACAATGTTAGCTTGGCCATCATGTGGATGAGAATCTATTTAGCTAAACTATCCCCAGTCACTGTGTTGGAAATCTGTGGAGCTAAGCCCACCATGGGTGTAAGATCACAAATGTACCCCTAACTCTCTTAAGTCAGCTGACAGACAGAGCTCTGCTTGGTAACATTCACTGGAAAACAAAATCACAGACAACCAGGGATGGTTGGCTCCCAAGCTGGTGTCACTGGATAGGAAGTGCCAGGAAGGAAGTGTTTGCCCAAAAGCTAGTCCTTCACAATCACACTTGAGTTGCTTCCTCTCTCAGATTTTAGTCCACTGAAGTTTTCACGAGGATCTGATTCAGTGACTTCCGCTGCTACTCCTTCTTCTTGCTCAATGGAACTTGTGAAGAAAAAAAAATGTATGTCCCATGTACCACTGTCCCTTTGCCAAGAATATCTGCTTATGGGAAGAGTCTAGGTACCATGCAAGATACTTTCAGAATGTAACTGTGCCCTTAGTTTCGTCGAACGGGGTGCCACATGGACACCGGCTTCCTTAAGGTCGCCAGCATCTGGTTCCAGTGCGTGATGCCCATGCCACTGGCCGATGGGCCAATGATGACGTGGCCAATGTTTTCAGCTCTTCCATCTTCGCAACACTCTGCCACCGTCACCCGGAGAGATAGGTCCTGGAAGGGCACAGGAAACGTTATCAATGTCCGACTGTATTATTTGTTTATTTATTTGTATTGGGATAGCACCCGGGAGCCCCAGTCATAGATCGGGTCCTATTGTGCTAAGTGTTGTAAATAGAGTCCTTACTACAATGTAAGTGCAACTGCCCAGCTACAGTCAGTACTGGAAGAAAGGCCAACACATATGAATAAAATTAAAACTGCTTTGCACTTTCCCTCAGAACTTAAACAGTTTTAGGGTTTGGGTAATTTAAAAAAAAATCATTTTCAGGCACTATTTGACGCCAGATGTCAGTGAAAGGCAAGGGTCAAATATAGAGAGGTAATGCTTGAGTTATCCCTAAAAGCACAGAGTGTCCAAAATCTCCAGAGGCTCTTATGAGCTGTCCAGCCCAAATTTGGAGACTCAAGGGGCCAAACTCTGAGGAAAGTGGATTGGATTTGAGAGGAGTCCAGAAGAATGCAAGTTGGAGAAACTTGCACTAGCACGTTGTGTCTGTGACAATAATTAATTTCACTCTTGCTTCCCACTCCAGCCCAGACCAGAAGAAAAGCTCTGAGTGCAAAAGCTTGTCTCTCTCTCCCTGGTAGAATTTGGTCCACTAAAGGACGTTACCTCACCCACCTTGTCTCTGGAATACAACACACAAGGCAGACTAGTCTCCCGGGGGAAGTGCAGCTGGCTCTGTATAAAAAGTCATAAAGCCTTATTTTTGTCACTTAAGTCAGCATAACTGCACGCACAGTGGGAGCTGACCTGCTGAGGGATTGGGGACTAGGAATGTAAAATCCCATTCAATTGGTTAACCAGTTAAACGTGATGGACGGGGCTGATCTGGGCGGCTGGGGCTCACTGCAGACAGGAGCTGCTTCAGCCCCTGTCCATGTGGGGCTGAAGCAGCCTCCTGCCCCCACCGTTTAATCGGATAACCTTTCATATCCCTACTGGGAACCATGGATACACAGACCCTTTGCAGAGTAAAAGCCTACTTCAATGCTAACAGCTAGGATAGGTGCGGTTACTGCCCGAGAGGCCAGCATTATGAATAATACGCGCTGAGGAGCGTCACTCGGCCCTCAGCCCAGGGAATATTTCCATTGTGTGCCAAGTCACAGCAGACCCTTTCTCGCCGGAGCTAAGCAACGCAGCCGCCGGCTCTGTGTGAGCCTGCACACAAAGTGGAGATTACTCAGGTGAGTTCAGCAACCCAGCCCTGCTTTTTCAGCATGTCCTTCCAGAACAAGCACGAATTCATAATGAATCGCAGAGTGGAGGCCACAGCACGTTCTCCCATGTTGTAGCCAGCTGCTGGGAACAGACAGGGGACCAATGGGCTTCCGATCAGGCCCTTGCTGAGAGGCACTTGGGCAGAAACAAATCTCCCCTGAAGCTTAAGATGGGAACAGCAAACCCAGCATTTCTTCCTGGTACTCTGGGAGCTGCAGCATGAAGCCAGTGCAGTTCTGTTCGGGGGGAACCGATGGGTGCAAGTGTTCTAACACAGTGTTTCTCAACCAGTGGTATGAATACCCTTAGGAGTACTCAAGAGAAGTCTGGGGGGGATACATCAACACAACTGAAATTTGGAGAAAACTGAATTTTTGTTTTAAGCTTTACAGCGCTTTATTATTTTTGTACTTTCTACACCCAAAAATTGCATTGCCGGCCCGGCTATTATTAATTTGTTTAAACAAATGTGTTGCAATGGTAGAAAAAAATTGTGTGTGTCTGAAAACTGTAGGTACTGGGGGTAGGTTTTTTTGTTTTTTTTTTAAAGGGGTACTTTATAAAAAAACAGTTGAGAAACACTGGTCTAGCAGCATCATATCTCTCAGCACCACAAGGGCCAGGTTACTCCAGAGTGATGTGAGTTTGCTACTGATTACACTCTCCCCTTTTCAACCAGGCCAAGCTCTGAGAACAGCCAGACACCCATTCTCCGTGCACCATGCCAACTGATGCCTCAGAAGTAGCAGGAACTCAGCACCCTTCAGGATATGGCCAACAGACTTTCACTTATAGGAAGCCTGATCCTGCTGGGAGGTGCAGAGCACCCTTAGTGCTCCTTGTCTTTAACAGGGGCCTACTATCCCTGCTTACCATCCAAAGTTATGCTTTGACCCCCACCCCCCACATGAGACTGAGCGGGTCAAAAAATAATTGTGTGTGTTACGTGAAGCATTTCAAAAGATCCTTTTCCTTTTGCTTGAGGCCTTCTGCTAATTGGTTTTTATTTTCCCCTGACTGAAATTTTAAACAACAGGTCATTTTAGTAAGAAAAAAAAACCAATTTCCTTTCACTTTTAAAAAAGTGGCAAGAAAGGAAAGGAGCAAGTGGGCTTCTCCTCCACGGAAATGAAACTTGCTGGAGATTTTCAAAATGTGTTTCTCTCAATAAACAAAAACTTTGGACCAAAATGAAAGTTTTTTGTAAAAACTTCCACTTTGATTGAAAAAAGCAATTTTCCACCAGAAAAAAAACATGGTGGGAAATTTCCAACCTGTTCTAATGAACACATTTTGGATTCAGGTCTTGGTGCTTATCGAGTTCCCTTAGGTTTCACAGGCACGGCTGCATTACTGATGCTCAGAGACCCTTTGCCTGCCTAGGCTTCCATTTGCTGCCTTCACTCCAGAGCCAGGGCTCACAGAAGACAGTTGCTGGGTCTTGCTCCATCAGTCAGGAAGCTGTGGGTACTCCATTTGCTGGGCATGGCCTGCTCTCACTCACATAGCCCATCTCTGCCAATCAGTCATCCACACGCTCCCTCATCGCAGGCAGGAAGGGTGTCAGAATAAGGTAGGGGGCAATTTCCTGCAGTCTCCCCCCTACACAAAGCTCCAACCCCACGTTTGCTTCTTCCCAGCCCTCAGGGACTGTATCTCTGCCTGCCTGCGTGAGGTACTTGGATAGCCCCATCACTCCCCATCTTTCATGTACCACCCCACTATCGCCATTTCACAGTTAGGGACTCACATGGTAGAGTCCAAGGTCACAGACAGTCTGTGCTGGAATGAGGAACTGCACCTTGCTTCCCTGGGCCCCAGCCTAGACCCCCAGCCACTGACCTGTCTCAGTCCTTAGACTTACTGAAGCTGATTTTCTGAGATTTCCTCTCCCAGTTGCTTTGGAAAGTCTCAAGTGTGTTTCATCAGCACCTTTAGATGCATACGCTCCAGAGCCAGCTTTCACTGGCTGCCTCTAGCCATTATCACGGACACGTTCATTTCCCTTCTCTTTGTCCAATTCTCCCTGATCTCAGCACTATCACCCTCCCGGTGGGAGGAACAGGAGGAGCCCCCTGGAGATGTTGTTATGGCAACCACCCCTTAATAGGCTCTTTCTTGTTTCCATGCCACTGAGGAAGGCTTCCTCCTTATTATCTCTCCTTTGAAGGTGTCTCCTTCAGACACTTTGATTAGCTGCTAAAACCCAAGCCGCTGACTTGCTAAATGAAATTACTCTCTGCTTCCAAGCCATGCAGTGATCCTGGTTAGATCTCAGCCTTTGGCCCTTCTCTTTCAGTGGCAGGATTTAATTTTAATGTCCCTGATTCGCACCAGGGAACTCCCAGCCCAGATCTCTTCCCAGGTATAAGCAGCACTCAGACTCAGGGAGATTTCAGCAAAGCTGTGAATGTCCCCGAGACTAAGGCTGAGTTAAGTTTTACAGCTCACGGTGCAGTTCTAGTTACAAGCCCTGGCCCTAGTGTGCTGTAATTTCCTAGAAGAGGGAACACTGTCATTGAAAGTGAGTCCTTAATGCACCCTGTGGGGTAGAACCAAGAGGCAGGTTTGGGTGGATCTCATGACAGTTGTAAGGTTTTCTGGCTTAAAAAAAAAAAGTTACAGCTCTTCTGTCTGGCCCTGGCCTGGGAAGTTCTCACCTGGAGGACGATTGCGGGCACTGAGAAAATCATGGCCTCGTTAAACACCGGGTTTGTGTCATCTCTCTTCACAGCGGTCTTCTTCTTGCTGATTTTCCTCCCATCCTGAAGCAAGTACACTTTGACGAAAGGGTCTGGATGGGCAAGAGGAAGCAAAGAGCCATCGTTTGCCAGCTGCCCATAAGCAGAGACTATGTTGGCTGAGCCCTGGGATCGCTGGACTGCAGGGAAAAGGGGTATTATGTGCCCATTAGCACAGCGATGACATGTAGCTGTGTGACGGGGGGGGGG